GTAATGAGAAGGAATTTCTTCATCACTTGTGAGTTATGCCACTGGGAAGTGAAACAGTTTTAATTACAATGGCAGCTCTTGCTGCTTCTTTCCACTTGTGCAAAACAAGAACTGCTGGAAGATATCCCAGGCATCTTTCTCTGGAGCCTGAGAGTATGATCCCATCTTGACACCTCTCTGTCATTCAACTCAGGAGTGGTTTTTAGCAATCACTTTTCAACTAAACAAAAGGCCTGTTTGACATCTCTTAGGATTCAATGCCAGGGTTTTGGTGGTAGCAGACAGAGAAGAGGAACTACCACATGAAAGAAAAAAAGATGAAGAAAGTGTTCTTCACATATGGAGGGTGGGGAAGGAAACAAGATAAGGGTTTCCATGGCAACATTCCTTGAAGATAAGTATTTTTAAATCTGGGTGAATTTTAGCATTGAAACGCAGTTGTGTTTTCCACAAAAAGATTTGGGGGAGGGCTGGAGTAGGAAGAATTTTTCCCCCTACTTTTCAGGTCATTCTAGCTTGTTTTACAGAGGAGCCTGAACCCAAGCTAAATGAACTATGTGTGATTGCTGTGATGTTAATGCTCCTGTAAAGAAAGCCTTGCTTCCAGGAGGCATAAAGCATCAGTCATAGTTCTATATCTGCACCAACATCTTTGGTGTGAACACTTGATCATCTCTTTAATGGGAAAAGTAGTTTAAATAAATCAATGCTAGACCAGTTAGAAGTCACAAGGACAAATCTTGCAGGAGTTCACATTAAAACTAGTGCAACTTGGCATGAAATCTTAATTATAATTGACGTACAGATAAGTGATAGTTGTAGTGATGAGGTAGCTGAGACCTTTTCCTTGGCCAAGGACTAGAGGATGAGAACTGAAAAGCAGAAAAACCAGTTAAAATGTGTCCCTGGTGAGTGTCCCAGTTACTTTGATGACAGTGAAACATCCCTATAGGTAGACAAGTGATGCTGCAGTGACACTACTATGCAGGAAATATTCTCTCTTGATATGGGGTATCAGTGTTGGGGCCACCTCTGAACCTCTCTGAAGCTTCTCTGCTCCAGTCTCTGCATTGCTGAGCAACTCACGGGCACTGGCACGCTCTGCTCCCACCTCTCTGCTGGCATCCAGGCAGGTCAGCTCTGTCACAAGCCTGCCAGTGACACATCCAATACTGTGTGCCTGCTTGGCTGCCAACTTTGTAGTCTCACCAAAAAAAGGCTTTTTTTTTTTCTTTTCTTTTTATTTTTTTTTATCAGTTGCTTCCAACTCAGTGGTGACTCAGACACTGCAGCAAGGGTAAAGTGATCATCTTCCCCTTCAAATCTTTACAGCAGAAGGCCCTGGGTATCCTCTCTAAATGAGAACTTGCTGAACCTCACCATTAACTGGATTCAGTTCTTTAATTTAACTGATGGAACGAGATGATCCAGCAGTCCTGTGTACCTGCTGGCTCACGGCTTGTGTTATTTAGTCAGCAATAGACTAAATAATTTCTACGAGTACTTTGTATTCAGAAGCCATGGGGAGGAGAGGCTGGGAAAGAATGATCACATATAAAAGAGAAGGGAGCAATTCACCCATTAAGGCTCTTTCACTGACCAAATTTCCCTGGGCCATGAATCCAGGAAAGGAACAAAAGTCCATTGGAATAATAAGAGAAAAACAGTCATATTTTGCTGTTTATCTTTTGGGGTGAGGGAGGGGAAGAAAATAAGGGTGTCTAAAAAAGCATAATTCATACTGTCAAAAGTGTGGAAATTGGCACCTAGTAGTATTGTTTCATACAGAAGAACCAAGGCTCAGATCTAGGTAAGATGACTTGTCAACTTCCCTACATCTTAATTGGTAGAACCTTCCAGCAGTGTGGAAAAAAGCTGCACTTATGTTACTGTTGGATCCTCTGTAAAGAATCACTGTTGTCAGATATATCATTTCTAATTCTGCGAATAATACGATGCCCTGACATTAGCACTAATGTGAAAATGCATACTCTGGCTTTGTAGTTCCTGGGACTAAAAAGCAACTGACTAGCTCATGTAGGACTTGTTAGATGTTAGTTATTGATTATATATATCATGTTTATCTCTCTCTTCCTTTAAGACCACTGTGGTATTTTGTGCTGCACTCTGATGCTCTAGCTCCGTGCATTGGCCTTACAGCTGAACTGGAGATGCAGGAGAGCTGCCATACCTTAATAACACAAGTGCAGCAACTTCAGTCCCTGCTCAGCAGCTTTCAGTATCCAGTATCCAGAAGCTGACTCTTACTGCATCCCTGGATGCGTGTGAGCCAGCCAGGCACAGTGTCAGGGCAGTGATGGCATTGCTGCTGTGCAGGGGAGCAGAAGAGCTGCCCTGTTGCACCACATACGAGTGTTCTTACATAGCTCTAAACTTTCAGTAATGCAGTGTCCAGGCCAAAAAGCCCTGCCTTCTGGCTACTTGCCTATCACCTGCAGCTCTCCTACTTGGGGATAAAGGTGTGGCAGATTTGTTTCTGAACATGCCCTGGCTTTGTGATGTGGCTCTCCTGCTTTTTCAAGCCCTTTCAGAAGTCTGAATGGGAGAAAAGTGCCTTGAGAGGAGAGGAGTGAGCTGTGTGAGTTAATGAGAACTGACAGGGATGCCTACGAGAATACACCATCACATATGATGGGAAACCAGCTGGACCAATGGTTGCAGCTGCCCCACATTCATTGGTAAGCAAGATATTTGGGAACAGAGAGGTGTTTGAAGTACTTAGTTCTTCTGCTGTGCAGAATTCATACTAAATTTGACAAGAGCCTGCGCCTTGATTTGATGATACTGTTCTCCTAAAAGGAAGGAGCAAATTGATTGCTTGTTAACAGAATGCTCTAAATTAACCTCAGGCGTGGGCCTGCAAACCTTTGCATGACTGTGACTATTATTTATGCTGTATGATTGCATTGAATACCACTGACCGTTCAATATATTGGCCTGGCACAACTGCACTGAAATTTTAGTTGTGGCTTTCAGGTGTTGGAAACGGAATTTTTGAAGCTGTTAAGGTGTCTGGATTTTGAATACCCCATTAAGCACCTACTTGACTATTTAAATGCCTAGATGTCTTTGTAAGTCTAGTGTTGCCATAATGCAAAGAAAAAGGAAATGATACAGAAGATTTGCTGGGTCAGGCCTCTGGTTTCACATCCCAGTGGTGAGAACTGGGTATATACACCATAGTTCACCGTGAACGTCTTTTTTGCTTGAGGAATCTTGATGGAGACTTTTACATAGGAAAGATAAAAATACTGCAAACATACATCCTGCATTAGCCTTTTTATATTTTATAGCTGTACTGTTCCAGTGTGGTAAACTGAGCTGAGCAATCACATTTTTTCAATTACCCTCAAGAACAGGAAATCCTTATCACCTCTGTGTTTCTTTCTCCCACTACTGCAGCACTGGTCTTGAAATTGTCACCACAGCTCAAAATCCTCATTCTGTAAATTAAACTGTGATTTAAAAAAATTTTACAGTACAGCCTCCTCATAAAACTCCACAAGTCTTTTACTGATGTGACTCACTCAATTACTCATGTGGGCAGACGTTCAGATAATAAAAGTAGTTAATGGAAAGCTGTGAGAAATACTGCTGGTTCCTGAGGAGGCAGCCAGGGGGAAGGCTACTGCGGGTATTTTATCCTAAGAGCTGCTGAATTCACTGAGCTCCCAGCCATTTTTTTTTAAGAGAAGGATTTCTCCGTTCTGCTTTTTCCTTTGTATAAAAGCAGCTTGAGAAGTCAGACTGGCAACAGAGAAGCAAAAGCACACCAGCTGTACATGTTTGCTCTTCTGCTCCTCTTCCTACATATTAGGGGTGATAGCCAGTCTGTGCCCTGAAATAATCTCTTTATCCTAGTGATAGTATGTACCTAAACAACACTCAGTACTCTAATGAGCTCTGGATTCCTGAATCAAGGAGTGCAACTAACAAGTGGCTAAATAACCCCTTTGGCTGGAGGTGTCACACATACTAACAAGGGTCAGATTTTTCTGGAATTAATAATAGTGCCTTGAGTTTGGTGTGCAGTAGGTCAGATAATACATCTAGAAAGCAGGTTTCAATGACATTTCAATGAGTGTACACTAGAGGAATATGGCACATTTTGAAGTTTGTGAGGCAGAAAGGTACTGCATAGTAGGGTACCATTACCTTACTACTTGGATGTGAGAGCTCCCTTACAAAATGAAATTATTCATGTATGATGACTTCAAAGAGACTTAGAATTAAGCCAAAACTGGGACTAGTGTAAGTGACCAACTGATAAGAGCTAAGGGCTAGCTGGCATTTGCAAAACAACCAGAGCAGTTAACTCTTGGTTATGTGGCTCTGAGGCTGCTAGATTTGCTTACAAATGGCTGTGCGAGCCCATTCCAACAACAGTGCCGGATATGGAAAGAGAGAGGACATGAGGATATGCTCATTTTTCATGCAAAATGAGCTGCAGGGAGACTATGGCTTGACTTGTAAAATAGAGCTTCTGGCACAGAGAAGCATTGCATAGATGTTGAGGCTCTGGATCAGGGAAAGTAAGCTGTCAAATTATATTTAGCGACTACATGCTGCAGAGAGGGAAGGAGGGAACTATTGCGTAGCTGGGCCCCATGGGTAGTGAGCACACAGAGCAGGGAATGAGGCTGTTAAGAGAGGATGAATTGCCTTGGTGTTCCTGATTCAAATAAATCTCTGTGTGAGGCCAGGGATCTGCAGAGACTTGTATGACTACTTTGATCAGCAGAGCCCTGCTTTATTTATCCCCAGGCTCCATCAGGTGAAGAGTGACCAACCTGTGGCCTTCCAGTCATTCCCTCTACCCTAACCCTAGGGTTGTTTGCCATAGCAATGCCATTCCCAGCTGGGGAAGCAATAGTCTGATGGGGGCTCTTGGAACCAGTATCACAGCCCAGTTGCACACCTGGCTCAGTCCCAACCCCTGCAAAATAGTCCCAACATCTGCAAAATAGGTTATGCTGCTGCATTTGAGTTCAGGGGTGTGAGTGCTCTATTGTGTTCCCTAGAAAGCCCGGTTCTAAAATAGATGAAGATGGAAAAAAAATCCTTCTACCTGTATGAGATAGATCAAACCTTGTGTGCTGAGATGTGACAGTTGATCATTTTGGTCCTATCTTATACTCCAGGATGCAGAGACTGTGACTTTGACTAGTTTACAGCAGGATGGGTACATCTTAGGCTCTAATTCTTTCCTGCTAAAAGCTCACTTGTATGATTCAGAGATGTCTTTGCCTTTGAAATAAATAAGGCCTTTAAGCTCCCTCTCAGAGGAGACAGTGTGGGGAGGCCTGGCTGCCTTCTCTGCATAAATATTTCTGTCAAACTGGATTCAGGCTGAGGTGGGTGAAACTGCTGCACCAACAGGGAGCCATCGACTTCCATCTCCTGCCAGGCAGTACTGCATCACTGAGATTTGTGTTGTTACTGTACTGTCAAAAATAGCTGTGAGTGAGAGAAAGGGCTGAAATGCTCCCATGTGTTCACCAAGCAGGAGGACAGAGCAGTTAGGAGAAGGAGGGAGATGCAGATTTGTGACAGTGAACAGAAGATGTGCAAGGAGGAACTGCCTTCCCAGTCTCGTGAAAGGGTGACCCCCATGCACGATGGAAGGAGGAAGGATGACTTCACAGATGTAGCTTATTATACTTCCTATGCAAGGGAGTTATGCTAGTTCCAGAAACAACACACATTGTTTTGGTGGCTCTTAAGAATATGCAAGGTCATAAAATTTTTTAAAAGTGGTCTATGTGGGGAAAAGCATGATTACCACATGGTAGGATTAGAAAAGCTCCAGGGGGGGGAGTTCCTGGAGTTATATGAGTACCTAAAAATCTGAACTTTATTACACACAGGGAGAAACAAAGACCTCAGAGCATGGTTCTACCTGTTGCAGCTGCTGCAGATCAAACTTGCAAATGTGAAAAAAGCATCAGCAGGTCGGTAACATCTACTCCCATCTATAGTGAGCAAGAATCAATTGTCCAGAGAGGATGAATTTTCACATATACTGTACTGGAGCATTAACTCCTCCATCTACCCTTTAGGGGCTCAGCAGCCATACCAGATTCTACCTGGGGGACACCACAGGGTCAGGACAGGGTGGAAAAGAACTGGCAATTGAGCTGGATCGGTGTCTTAGAGAAGGAATACCAGCAGGAAAGAAAACCAAATTAGAGCAGTTGGTTCTTCCTTCCTCTGCTCCTTGAGTGCTTGTCGTTTGAACCCTCAGAGGGAAACTGATGAACAACTATGCTTTGTGCTGGCTTCTTTTTGAGACCATTTGTTGCCCGTTTTCTTTTTAAGTCTGAAATGTTAGAAAGAGATCATTATTTTTCCTATTTAGCTTGACCTCTTCCTTCCTGGGAAAGTTCCTCCCCTTGTACTGGCTCTGTCCTTTTCACACAGTGCTGTGTTGAGGTAAAGTTCAATAGAAAACTTGAATTCCTAGAAAAAATATTGGGATTTGGAACGAGACAGTCCCTCGAACAACACTGTGAAACTCTGCAAACATATCCTGACTCTCTCTGGAGGTGCTGTGAGGTATCAGATGTCAATCATGCACAATGAAAATATGTGCATTGCTGAAATAGCAATGTTAGGGCAAACACTTCCATGAGATGGAAACTACTCCTTGGGTCATCTCTCCCACCTTTGTTCAGCAAACCCTCGATTCAGCTGCAGTTTCTCCTAAGGAGAGAGGTTATCTGTGGTTACAATCTTGATTGCCCAGCAAATTGCTGAATGCCTGAGGAATCAGGAGGAGAATGTGCAGCTTCAGGGTGTGTGGGTTTTTTAATCTGGTTTACAGTGAGCACTGGAGGTTGAGTGTCTGAGATGCCTCTGGATCCTGACACCATTTGTTGCGGCATTGGACAGATGCATCCTGTGCTGGGAGGCCACCCCTGGCATTCTGGAACAGCTGTGGGAGTTAAATAAACTTCTGTTTGCTTTAGGTGTTTTGGATCATGAGATTGGCAAAGGCTGGTCATCCAGGCAAAGGCAGATCCAGACACTGTGAAGTGAGCATGAAGACATGACTGTGTTTGTTGAGGCAGTGAAGGTACATACTTCAGTTACAGACTATTTTCTTCACTCACCCTATTTTCATTCCTTCTCTCCACTGAATTTTACCTTCAGCTAAAGGGCATGGGCCTATATATATGGTCAGTACACATGACCAGAACTTTGGTGCCAGAGTCCTTTGTCCTTTATCCAGCAGCAAATCTGCTCAGCTCCATGTGACGCAGCAGCACAGAGATTCTTTGCTTTTGTTTCTAGTGTTTACACCATATGGAGGGGAAAAAAAAGTTAAAGGAAAAATGCTCATAAAACTAGAGCAGAGTTATATAAACAACCGAAAACCTGCAGGAGGATCTGTCTGAGATCTGACCTGGTCATTTGTTTAAAGAGGATGTTTACTCACACCAACCATTGTGGTGACTGTGCTGTCCAGTTCTCCATAGAGGAAAGTAAATGGAGGAGGTTTTTGACTGTGATTTCTTACTGTGGTGCAAAAAATAGGTGGCCTTTGAACTACCCCATTATTACTTTTCTCTAATAAAGAATTGGTGATTCAAACTGTATCTATGGGACACCCACGCAGAGCGCCCAGCTGGAAGATTGAACATGACCAAAGGGTCGGCTCATCTGTGCAAGCTATTGTGGGGAGGGAACTCCCTTGGGTGAAGGGCAGAGGTAAAAACCTAATGCATGAAAGAGAATTTGGAAGAATAGTGGTCTCACTGTGCTTTTGGATCTTGACCTCCAATATAAACTCTCTAGACTGCTTGCCTTTCTATTTTCTAGTGACTGTTTGAATGGCACCTTTAGGTGGAAAATACGTTTTCTTCTCATTCTTGAAGATATTGATCTAAGGGAAAATCTTGCACAAAAGGATTGGGAAACAGTTAGAAAAGTTAAAGTGTGTAATAAATTAGGGCTGAGAGAATATAAAAAAAGAATTTAGCACATCACTTGACAGATAGGAAGTAATTTATGTAAATTAAGGAAGTGGTGGTTGGATTCAATTGGTCTAATTTAAACACTCTTTCTAATTATTTTTGGTATGTATACAGAGGATTATATGATGGTCATTATTCTGACAGAAGGGTTCTTCATATTTAAATTTAAATCCATAAATTATTACCCTATTACAATGTAAACATGCTGTGATAACAAGTACCTGATTATGCAGACAGGTTAGTCCAGCTACTCTGGTGAACAGCTGTGTGCATGTATTTCAGATAATGATTTTTTTTACATCCTAAAAACCACAAGCAAGCCATTGAAAGGTCAAGAGATGCCTGACCCACAGGTGGGAGCTGCCTGTAAGGAGGTTTGCTGGCACTGAGTGCAGACCAGAGAGCAGATGGGCTCTCACAGGTTTCCACTGAAAGGGGCCCTAGTGGCACCCAAAAGTACAGAGGGAAGATGACACAATTAACAAAATTAACAATTCCCCCTCCCTACAGTCTGGTGCTGCTAATCCCAAGTTAAAACTCCTATAACAGCATCTTTGGAGAACCTTCCTCTTTACATCTCAACAGTTTTCTCCTTTTTGCCAAGGGAAAGATCATGAAGGTTTACTGGGAAGCTGCCAAATGACAGCTTGACTTCACACCTGAGAAGCAAATGAATGAAGAGAGAAGGAAAGCCTCAGCCTGGCTCCAGCCTGGCACAAACACAAAGAGTCCTGGGAGTGTGGGCATGAGCAACCCCTGGAGCTGCAGCAGCAGCAGATGTGACATGAGCAGAGTCCAAGCTGAAGCTACTGTGGAGGAGGGAGCATGGGGCCCATTACCAAACTGCAGAAGAGTTATCATCAGCTGCACACCCTAGGGTGAGGTGGAGACCTGGCCATGGATGATTCTTGGAGGTGTGGGACAAGGCTTGGAGCTCCAAGCTTGGAACTCCAAGGGCTGTACAGCAGCCCTTCTTGAGTTGATTTGGCTTTCCTTCCCGGAGCCATTGCAGCAAAGGCTCAGATCAGCTCTCTCAAAAGGTGCATTAACAATCATCAGGGGAGCTGACAACCATGATTTATTCTTTAACTATCCCCAAACTGTATTTTTGGATGTATAACTCATGGTTTATAAACCCTGAGGGTAAAGGGCACCAAGAACTTCATGACACTTACTTCTTTAAACCTTGTGGTTTTACGGCAGAGAGTGCCAGACTCTGCCGAGGGGAGCTGCCAATGGCCTGACTCCATGCTGGCACAGGTCAGCGCTGGTGGGGGTGCTCACATGCAGTCACCCCTCTCCTCCACATACATGTCATGGTAGGAGGTCTCTGGCAGTGTGTTCCGGGATTCTTAAGCCTTTCTGTGAAATGAAGACTACTGCAGCTGTAAAATATGAATTGCTCTTGGCTCTTTACCTACCTGTAGAAAACTAAAGTAGTTGAGGTTTGAATTTTAGTCTGCATTTTAAAATGGGAGAAAAATGCTTTGCATATGAATTTTTTTTTCAGCAATATGATGAGCACTGTGCCTGACTCATCCTTCATATGGGTTAACTAAGCAAGCTAAAAGAAATACCCCTCAGGGCAGGGATTTCTATCTCATTTTTCTTTTAAGGGAAGAAACTTTCAAGGACTGGCCCCAAAGACTAACAACTACTAGTTGTTGTCTGACCCCACCAGGTGTTTGCAATCTGCAGTTCTAAAGTCAGCGGGAGACCAGGCATATCTAGCTGGATGCCTTTGCAACAGCTCAAGGCAAGAGAACAACTATTCCTGTAATGCCAGGCCGATGCACAGGTTCTGGATCTCCTCTGGTTGACTACCACAGAAGTGTCTGTAACATGAAGGCTGTGAAAGCATCCGGCTGTTGTGTCACTGTGTTAAGGGCCAGCATATAACCCAGGGCTGCAGTACAGAAGCAGCCAGAGCTTTGTGGAGCCTCGTGGGAACATGAGGTGAGTAATCACAGCTGCAATTCATTTCAAAGAGGCAAGTGAGCTCCCTGGAGGAAGCTGGGACAGTTCTGCTGAGAGGGCGGTTTTTTGGGGGGTGGGGAAAAGGCTATTTTTCTGTTCAGGTGGAAGAATTGAGTGGGAAAGCCTTGCACGTTCCTCGAGGGTGGGCATTTTCATCACAGTAGAGTGACTTCCCTGGGATATAAAGTAAGTCAGTATTAAAGCCAGGAACTGACCAAACAGACCTCGCAGCTCACGGTTTCAGTTGCTGTGCTGCAACGACGAGGCTGTCCTTGCTCTGTTTCTGCTGACCCTTCACTATGTGCTTTTCTCTGTTAGAGCTGCAAAGCAGCTTGGCAGCTGAGAGTTTACCCTCCCTCGCACCTCGTACAGCAGCAGCTTGTCAGACAGGACTCACGCAAAAGGACACATTTTGTCCTTGCCCTGCCGATCGGACGGGCCGAGCAGCAGCTGCACAGAGGCGCGGGGGTCTGACTGCGCCCCCCGTGGTACCCAAAGCTATCGGGGTACCAGCAGAGGCGGCGGCAGCCCCGCGCTCTGGGAGGGGCGCTGCCAGCGATCTGCCCTTGGGGAAATCAAAGGAAAATTATTGTAAAACAGCCAAGGCTCCCTAAAAAGAAAAGATGCATAACTATTTATTGTGACTCGCGGTACGGCCGCGATGCGGTGCCCGGAGCAGCTCGGGTGCCCGAGGTGGACGGACACCGACGGGACCGCGGCTCCGCCATCCCCGCCCTTCCCGGGCCCCGCCTCCCGAGCGCCGCCGGGGCGGAAGTGGGCGTACGCGGGGGGCCGCGCGGGGCGGCGCATGCGCGGGAGGCGCCGTGCGGCCGCGCCCCGCCCCCGCCGCGGTGGGGGTCTGGCGCGCGCTCTGTGCGCGCGGCGCGAGGCCCGGCCCGAGCGGCGGGGGCAGCGCGTGGGGCGGGGGCGGCGCGCGGCAGGGGAGCGCGCGGGGCGGGGGGCGGAGGCGGGCGGACAGACCGACCGACGGACAGACCGACCGTGGGAGAGGATGTGAAGATGGCGGAGCTACAGATGCTGCTGGAGGAGGAGATCCCGGGGGGGCGCCGGGCCCTGTTCGACAGCTACACGAACCTGGAGCGGGTGGCCGAGTACTGCGAGACCAACTACATCCAGGTGCGCGCGGGCCCGCGCCGGCCGGGGCCGGGGCAGGGGCACGTGCGCCCCCGCTCCCTCAGGAGCCCCTCCCGGGTGCCCCGGCCCCGCGGCGCGGCGGGGCGGCAGCGCCGGCTGCTGCAGCCTGGGGAGGGGAGGAAGGCTGGGTCACCTCCGGCGAGAGCTGCCCCGGCGTGACGAGGCGTTCGAATGTGTGATTGATTCCTAGATTGAATTCCTTCCACTTTTTTGGGAGTGAATGTTTATTCCAGGTTGTGTCTCTGTCGCTCCTTTTCGTTCCCTTTCCCACGTTCCGCTCTCCTTTGCTGCCGGCGCTGAGATGATAAACCTAGGGATAGCTGACTCCTGCAAATACGGTTAATTTAGGGCACAATGACATATGTTTTAATAGGGATGTGCCTGTCAGTTCGCATTTCCCTTCCCGAGCAGGGCTGTGGAATTCCATGGGAAGGGCAGCTACCAAGCGCTAGGTGCAGGATGAAAGCGTGATGTAGTAAGAGATGGTACAGAATTAGGGAGAAAGAGATTAAGTACAAGTTGCTACCGCAGTGTGTGTTTTTTGCGGTGGCTGCTCTGAAACCAGATTGGTGTTAGGACTTCGCTTTTTTCCTTTCTCTTTTTAGCCGAAAGAAAAGCAAAATACTGGCAATTTACTTTGGTAGTGGTGGTAGCGCCAGATTAAAGAGTTTACCTTCAAACAAACATAAAAAGACACCTTAGAATGGGTCTGAGTGTGCAGGAGAGAAAGGCAGAGGGGGCGATGTGGATTTGTGGTGTCAATGTTGAGAGAATTACAGAGGGTCCCAGTATTATTTTTGCATTCAGTACTCCAAGTGCAGAGTTCTTATGTGTTTCCAGAGGGCAGCGAGGGATGAGATCTGTGGTGAGACTATTCTGTCAGTGAAAATGGGAGAGACTGTTTAACCAGTGGCAGAGAATACTTAAAATGTCCCTATAAAAAAAGCTCTCACTGTTTCTTTTGAATTGCTGAATGACCAGCTGTGCTTTAGAGAGAAGACTGCACATTTTGGGTCATTTACAAAACACGTCAATTACAGTGAAATTGTATAGATAGATGTATTTTATTATGTAATAACTTTTCCTATGTTGAATTGGTGTGTCTTAGGTTTTTTAAGAGACATATGTTGCAATATTTCCTTACAGTTATAACCTGACATACACGTGTTTAAATTTATGCTTTTTTTAAAACTGTGAAACTGATTTTTCTGGAATAAGGGAGAGGAGTATTGGGAGGCAGAACCGGAGAGGAAGAAGGGCATGTAGTTTGGATTTTGTTTTTTTTTTTCTTTTGACCTTTTTTGTGTTCTTTGTATAAACCAAAGTTCAAAATCTCTATTGAACAGCTCCATTTTTAATGTTTTAATGAAACTGCGGAGAAGACTCCATGCTGTTTTGTACGAATAGAGAATGAAAAAAGATGGTTATTGCCCCAGACAGCACACAGTCCATAAGGACAGTCTGAAATGATAGGAGACAGATGCAGACAGATGGTGAATGAAGGAAAAGAATGAGGCACTCTTGGTCAGCCTGATGGATTCTGACCACCACACAGCAATACCCCCCGACTGTTGGCAATTTATCCAAGGATCATGACAACACAGAGCTTTAAGGGGGAGGTGAGAATTAAGGAATGAAATTGTGCTATGAGCATTGACTGTGAGATGCTGTGTGGGTCACAGCATGAACATGTTTAAATTTTTAAACAAGTGGGGAATGGAGGACATAGCCAGGCGATAAGCTCTGCCCTTTGGAGTTCTTTGAGACATCATAGAGTGGGTTTATTGTAGAAAAGAGGTCCAGTGTGAGGGGATTCTGGATTTAGTGATGCGAGTGTCCTAGTAACAAATCTGTCAGCGAGCCCACCCCACCTTCACAATGCCAGACCTATGTAAACTGCTGCACCATAACTGTATACAAAGCTGAAATTTTCTTCTTTATAGCAGGAGAATAGATGAATGGATATAACTGCTGGTTAGTTGGATACTTGTGAATGATTTTGCTTCTAATAACATTTATTATGCTGAAGTTAACATGTCCAATTAAGTCCAAATTATGTTCAAAATAGTAGTCTTGAATTTTGTGGTGAAGATGGGTTTGTGACTGCTCTGAAGCGCGTGGAAGAATAATTGTCCAGAAAGTCAGGTAGTGAAGATGAACTATTTCTACTGTAGTCCTGTAGTGTTGCATTATTGACAGAAGATTTGGTTGTGGATATTTTTGAGGTCTCCTAGGGAAGGCTCTGGATGTGAAGTTGATCGGTGGGATGGCAGGCACTGTGGCAGTGGGGACGTTGAAGGCCTGTATTTGTCAGTAGACAAGCCATTGCTTTTCTGTGCCATTTGCTGCTTTGGGGTTTTATTGTCAAGTACAAAAACTGTTGCAAAAGTCATTGGAGGCATAGTAACAGAGAATTTGAAGCTCAGTGCTAAGGTGAATG